CGATTTTTTCATACTAAATATATGTATTTTACAGGTCAGCCAAAAACACCCGAAAATGCAATGGGTGGACCCATAAAAAATCGTCGATGTTTAAGTTTTTAAAATAAAACAATAATTACTTACGTCCACCTATAAACTCTACTTTTTATGATTTCGTGTGTCGGGTATAAAAAGTTTGGTTTTGCCCGAACTAAGACTTTTTTTACTTGTTTTTAATTAAGTTTGCAGAAATGTTGTTTTAAAAATTCATAACAAAATCTTTTATTGATTCGACAATGTGCAAATTCTTACTAAAAACTTTTAAGTCGTTCCTCTCGCATTTTCGATTTTTTGAGATATGACGTTCTTTCTTGAATCGAACAATATCGAAATTTTTTCCAAAATTTTATTTTTGATGCAGAAACGCATCTAAATGCTCTAGGAATATTTTTGCACCAAAAAGTAAATTTTGGTTCGATATATTCATGAATAAATATCTACGTATGAATGAGCAGAGAAACAGCTAAAAACAACTTACATACATACATACATACAGTGCCGGCCACTTGAATAGCGCTCTCTTTTGCTCTGCAGTATTGACAGTTTTTCTTTAGTTTATTTAATATTAGTTACTTTTCTATAAAAAAGCATGTTTTATAACAAAAAGCATGTAAATTCGATTAGAAAACTCTATACACATTTTACAATAATTCAACAAATTTTCAGCGAAAATTTGAGTATGCAAGTTTAGTATAACAAAGTGCAAATTTTTTTTCGTAGGGTGTTGAGCATTTTATTTCATAATAAAAGATAGGCGAACAGACTTGGAAGAAAATGCGTAAAATCTTCAACAAAAAAAAATGTTAATAATCAACGCGACATTTTATAGCCTTTAAAACAGCATTTTATTATAATAAAATTTAATATGAACTGCACACTCCAAATTCTAAAATTTGAAAAAGCTTGAAATTTTGATGAAAATTTGTTGAATTATTATAAATTCTATATAAAGTTTGCAAATCGGATTTGCATAGTTTTTATTATAGAACATGCTATATTAAAAAAAAAAACGAATGAATATTAAAACAATACACAAAAGAAAAATAGGCTAAGGCTGAAGAGCGAAAGAGGGCGCTACTCGAGTGGCCGGCACTGTATATGTTAACTTTACTGATAAGACAACAAATCGTTTTGACCTACATAAACAAAGTTTTCATTGTCTCATTTACAATAAAAAGCAATGGAAAAACCTTCACTACATATGTATTTACGCATATAATTTTACTTATAAACTGTTGTTTATTTTTTAAAAGGGGCGCGCGCTTACTTATCAACTACTAGATATAGTGCTTGCTATGCGACACCCATATATTGACAGGTTTTGCCTATTTATTTTTTTCTGCACTTAATTTTATTTATTTTTTATGTTTATAAAAATATAGTTCATTACATAACGAAAACCATATAAATCCAACTTTTGAACTTTGTAAAAAAATAAAAAAAAACAAATTTTAAAAGTCATAATTTTTACTTAGAATTTTTAGAAAAATTTTGGGAATGCAGTTTTATAGCCCAGTTTATTAAAAAAACAATTGGCGAAAATCAACGGTATTTTGAAGTCACTTCAAACTTGCACTGCACTATGCTGAGATTGAAATTTTGATAAAACTTCGTAGATTTTTTAACTTTTTTTACAAAGTTAGATACTTGGATTTATACAAAATTAACTATATATATTTTAAATAAAGCAATTTAAACTAGTCAAAGTTGTTGATGTCGTATAGTTACGATAAGCACTATTTGTATATTACTTTATGCACCGCTTTCTAATTTGAATAATTTCCACGCTTGAAATTAAACTTTCATCTCATGATTTAAAAACTGGTTCCCACATAACTGGGAATGTAATTTCTTTGATTTCGCCCAAGTCAAGCATATAAACGCCACCATTTTTACCAGTCTCAGCAACCTTTACTAAATTTTTAGCACAAATTTCAGGACTTTGGCGTCCGGCTTCATCTAAACGCGCAGCTAAACCAGCAGCAAATTTAAATGTGGATTTTGTGTGTGGATTCGCCACAAGCGCGGTCTCTGTAATGCCAGGACAAATAGTGATAAAAGTGACGCCGTGATGTTTGAAATAGAAGGGATTCTGAAAAGAAAAAGAAAAAACCAAACATTTTTGAGAACAAGTTACCTTATAGGGTGTTTACATGAAGCGATTTTAAGGGCCACTTTTAGTTGTAAGCAATAATCGCCTGGTCTGAACGGCCATACAACTAATCGCTTCCAATGAAGTGGGGCGGCAGCCAACTTTTAATTCAAAATCGCCTCTAAAATTGCCTCATGTAAACACCCTATTAAAAAGCTCACCGCCATGCAACGTGTAAATGCCGTGACACCGTGCTTTGCCGCTGAATAAACAGATACAGCTGCCGTTGGTTCCAAGCCAGCTACCGATGAGATGTTGATTATAATGCCGCCACGTCCACCAGTTGATTTATCCATATAGGGCAGAGCAGCAAAAGTGCTGTGTATCAGACCCATCTGTTGAATAAATGAGGCGTATTGAATAAATGGTATGTGTATACACATGTCTTGCGTAATTTATGAGTTTTTTTTTTACCAAATTAATGTCAATCATTAGTTCAACTTGATTATCATCCATTAGCCCACAACCATTGACAAGCAAATCAAAGTGACCCATTTTCTCGACAGCTATTTTGAAAGCTGCTGTAATGCTATCCTTTTTAGTGATATCGAATTGCACAAAGAAAATATTGGCATCGGGATATGCATTTTGTAGGGTTTGCAGCAGCGTTGCATTCTCTTGCAAATCGAAAATGGCTAAGTTCTAATAATAGAAAAATATATATTTTAAATAATAATCAACACATTTAGTGCATACAGAAATTACATACGCACATGCATCACAATATACGTATTTATGTATTGGGGTGATTGACTCAGTTTTTCTAAACCGGTTTCTACCGGTATTTTTTGTATATCTACAGGCGGTTTTTTGAAATCTTGATTTTGCGAATATCGAATAAATCCGATTTTTTATTAAACAAACTGGTTTTTTCATTTCATAAAAATTTTGAACGCTCAATACAAGTTTTGAATTTTTCAAAGTTTTCAAGGCCTTTTCAAGTTTAAGAATTGATATTCAATATATGAATGTTTGTCGCTTAAGCGTTTTCTACGTGTTTAACCGAGCTTCTCCTACAATTCGTGTTCTGCTTTCTTGATGTTGTGACCAGTGTTGCCTGGTTGACGATTTGGTTGTAATTTTGAAGATTTTTTACTGCCATGACGATTTGATGATTTTTGTGACCCAATGACAATTTTCCTTTATAGGCAAATTTGGCTGTTGCTCAACTTTGAAGATAGACAGACACCTACTGATAGTTTACCAATTCATGTTGCAGCACTAATAGTAGTTATCGATAAGTAGTTTTCGTCAATATGTGTGTAGTTTTTGGCGGTCAACTGAATACTGGTACATATTTTATTAAGCGAAGAGAATTGTGGATAAGTTCTTTAGCAAAACTTGCAAGTATGAACAGTTTTTAATGCACATCGTTAAGTTTCAGTTTGAAAAAAAAAAACAAGAAGATGAAAATGTGATTTTATTGCAATTAAAAATATTTTTAATAAAAGTAACGCGAATTTTAAAAATTCGTAAAAAGTTTAACTTTTTATTTTTTTACGTACATCATTCAAAAGTTGGATTAAAATCCAAAAGAGCTTCCTGGTTGTGTTTACTAAAATTTTTTATACGTTTACGATCTTTACACGCAAATGACGATTTTTGAGAGCCAAACTGACGATTTCGCACTTCAATGACCTGGCAACACTGGTTGTGACACAAATAGGGACATCTACACTTTTACTCCATCTTCGAAGAAGCTTTTTTATGGAAGTACACTCGCAAACCTCCGAGTGTACTTCCATTGTCTGGCGAGGGGCGATCGCTATTTGAAAAAAAAAAAACATTTTTCCGGAGTAACAGTAGGCACCTCCAAGCACTCGGCTATGGAAGCAAGAGCGCTACTCAAATATGAAAAAAGTCAAAAAAAGCAACATCGAATTTAAAAAAGTTAAAATAAGACCCAACTTGAATTTTTCACTGATTTTTATTTGTTTTACTATTGATCTAAAAAAACGTTGCACTCATTTTGCTTTGCTATTTTCTAAATCAAACCTATCTTAACTGTTTATAGTTTTATTGTAATTTTGGGCTCTGACTTCATAAGCATTTTCACTGTATTTATTCGAAAATCGGGAACCTGTTTTTTTACAAATTGCAATTTTATAATAACTCGAAAACTGGTTTTTGAGGAAAGGCGAATAATCAACCACCTTAATATGTATACAAATACAATTTTAACATGAAAAAAACTATTCACACTTAAAAACCTGTAATTGTCACCTTCACTCCTTTGGCTAGAAATTCCTGCAGACAACGCTGTCCAATGCCGCCAAAGCCACCTTCGTAAATTACATTCTTGCCACTTAAGTCCATGTTGTTATTTATTTAAAAGTTTTATTTTTTAATTAGAACAGTTTTTAGTATGAAATTTGCTTGTTGTTGTTGTTTTTTCCCCTGCTCAACAGTCCGTTAGCGTCTAGCGTTAGTATATATGTCTGTTAAGTTCGCTTTCAACAGTAGAACTGCGTTATTCTAATACAAACTGCTTTGTTTTAAATGCACTGCGGTTATCACTAAATTAGCGCTCGGTTGAAAGAACTCTCTCTTGGTTTATGATTAGCTACAAAATAATAAAGAAAATCGAAAGTCCATAAGAAGTATTTGCGTTTCTAGCTATTTGCTTCTTATCATTCATTTGTCAATATTTTTTTATCTTTTCAATGTGATATGCAAATACGTATGTACATTATAAATACAAATCCGTAATATAAATACACATGTAAACACATGCACATTAGAATCACTCAGCGCAAAAAAACGTTGCTTCAAAAAAACAAAGCGTTTTTGTGTTGCTTTCCAGTCATTTATTTACATACAGTGCCGGACAAAAGTATTGGCACAGAGAATTTTTCGCAATGTAGATATACAAAGTTTTTTGTTTCTAATTTCTTTCCGCTAAATTTTTATAATAATATAGTTCATACTACAACAAAAAACACAAAAATAAAATATCTAAACTTTGTTCAAAACTTAAGAAAGTTCCATACTCAAATTCAAAGAAACACCATGTTGTGAATTTTTCTAAAAAATCTGATTAGAATGTTGCCAATTAGTTTGAAAAGTTATTGAATTTTCCTCACTTTTGCACAAACTTTATAGATTTTATTTTTAAGGTTTTTTTGTTTGGAAAAAAAAAAAACAAATGGCAATAGAGGGCGTTACAACAACAGATACTATTAAGATCTTTGAAAAATACTCACGCTAGCTGACCCAAACACACATTTTCGCGAATTTCGCGGAAAAGAAGTGTGCGCCGAAATTGATTTGGGTAGCCATAAAGAACACCTTAATAGCCCCTAATTCCTGAATAATATTTACCAGCGTTCGACGACATTTTTTGTCAACAAAAATTTTCATTAAAAAACGGCCTCAAGCTCAACAAAATTGTTGAAATTAATTTTCGTGGTCCTAAAAAACAATTTTTATCAGTTTTTGGAAAAGTGGGTCAGCTAGCTGGACGACGTTCCGTATGCTTGCACTGAATTGTGCTAGGTTGAAATCCGAGTGGGAAAATAATGCTTAAAATACCACCCGGGCATTTTCATTACGCTTTCCTGCCTAGCAACATTTGTAAAAATTTTTGCGGAGTAAGAATTCCGAGCGCTACGGGCAAAGTTATCGATAAATATATGTACTACAATTTTGTGATGCTAGTTACTATACAATATTTATGCGCTGCTTTTACAAAAGAACGAAAAATATACGTGAAATAAGGCTAACGTATCAGGGCTAATAAAACGATGTTAAGAGTATTTGCGTTTGTTAAAAAAAAAATTAGTAAACTAATTAGCAAACTAATTTTTTGCCCCGCATTCGGCTGTCATATATATGATCACCGTAATTATACTTTTAATTGACCTAACTGCTCATAAACACATGCTAAAACTGTGCACTATCACCTATCACCTGAAATGCCAAATTATAACAACCCCACACCCGTCTGTGCATTAACAGCACATTATAATAGCGCCTCCCAGGTTTAAATTTTTTTATATGCACACTTGGAAGCTTTCAAACGCCTCTTAAAATCGAAAGTCTAACAAGATTATAAGGAGTACTTAGTTATAAATGCACACATATGTATGTAGATAAATATGTGAATTCTGTTTGCAATGGTTATAAAAAAAAAAAACAAGTATTGCATAAACTTGCTCGGCAACATCAGTGCACAAGCTTCGTATGCAGTAAGACAAGCCATAGATATCAGAGGTTTACGCTGATAGCTTATGCGGCGGCGGCGTCGCACAGTAGGACACCCCTATGTAAGCTGCTGCCAAAAGTAGTAAGCAGCTCCGACCCAGAAAACAATATTCATTGAAAAAAAAAAATGTAATTTTAGTTTATGGTCACTTTTACTTCAAACATACATAATTATTTTTCACCAGTTACAAAGACCTTTCCCACCAGACACATTTTTAGGTAATTTTTATAATTTTTATGAAGTTCATATCAGCCTAAGTTTTAATGAACACGAAAGCGTATAGTATATTTTTTTACAATACAAAAAAAAATCTGTCTTGAAACTTAAGTATTATTGGCTAAAATTCGTCGTTGAGGCACATTTTCATTGAAATAATAGTTACGAAGAACTTACAAATCATTTGGTATTTTTTCTTAAGCAATTGTATACATTATTTCAAATTTTTATTCGTTATACATATCAGAGTTCTTTTCTTTAGCTATACAATAAATAAAAATTCAACAAATTTTACAGCAGCTGTGTTTATAAAAAGAACAACAAGAGCTGAATTCGCATTTTTCGCTGCTGGACGTCTCTGCAAACCAAAGTTGCCGAAATCTTTAGGAGTATCTCATTTCTGTTACGATTTTTTAAGAATCTTCAAAGAAAATTATATGAAGTGGTTGACACGAACTCGTAAAGAAATTTCTGTATGAAAAGTAAAGAAAATTCTGAAAAAATTTTGCAAGAAATTCTTCACAGAGCAGCATTATTTTAATTGCTTTACCGATTTTTTTCGAAGTGCTCATAGTTTATTTCATTTTAGAAAATCCGGCAAAAAATCGGATCAGATCTTTAATAATTCTAAAAAATTACTTTACAATACTCTGAAAAAATGGTTTACAGGGGTATTACAAATATGACACGCATACTTAAAGATTTATTCTTTTTTACAGTATTATACTTTTTAAATTCCAAAAATAGTTACTGTTATTTTTTCAAAAATACTGGATTTTTATGAAAAATTACTTTTTTGCTACCTAATGTTTTTTAATGAACAGAAGTAGCATAAATTTATCAGACGTTGATACAAAACAATATAAACTAACAGCAAATTGCTCGTGGAACCGCGTTATAAAAATGCATATACATATGTACATACAGTCATGTCAAAAAATGGTGACGCGACATTTTGAGTAGTTTTCTTTCGTTTGTTTGATGTTTATTAAGCTCTAGCTAATTATATAATACATAAACATCATATAAATCAATATTTCAAAATATTTAGAAAAATTCAACAAATTTTTATAACAGCAACAAACTTTTTTTTCATAATATAGAAAAATACAAGAACGCAGTTTTACAACCCACTAAATTGTACTAGAACAAAGTGCAAGTTTTAAGAGGATAAGAATTCGCGTTGATTTTTGATAATTTTTTTGCCGACGGTTTTATTTTCTTCCATAAAAAAATTTTGGAATATAGTAACTATGACTGAAAAAAAATACACGCCAAAAGAAAAATGTCAAAAATCCACGGTATTTTGCAGACGCTTCAAACAAGAAAACTGACGTGCAACTTTATTGAATTTTTACAAAGTATTACGAAACAGGTTGAAGCAAGTAATATAAACAAAGTTTTTTTTTTAAGACAAGCTTTTATTAGTGGTAAGTAAAAAAAAGCGACCGCTCACCCCAACACAAATCCAATCCACGTTCAGAAAAAAAAAATATAAAACAATGTATCTTTAAAATTCACAATTTTTCCATTTTAATAAGCTGCATTTTTTGTCGGGATATTAGTAAATCTATTAAGAAGAACGCTTAATAAATCTTGTGCTTAATAACTTTACGCTCTTTTTCCATCGCATAACAAAAATAGTTATAAAATTTGCAAATAAATATTCTGTGGAATATATATGTATTTTCTTCTCTTTATTCAAGAAAAAGAGTCGATCCGCTGATTTTCTTACTAGCAAGTTTTCGAAAGTAATTTTTTTTCAGCAGTAATTTGCAGTTTTCTCTCAAAATGAAATGTAAATGCAATTTTTTCGGGAACTAGAACGCAAAAACTTGAAAATTTGCAACAATTTAAATAATTTGCAATACGAGAACACTCCTATTAACCCTAGAATGGTAACTAAGTAAATTTTACATAAACAGCTGTTATGTCGCCTACATACGTACCGCATACAAATTTTTCACTTTTGCTGTGCCTTCATCAACCTTTGGGCATTTGAAAAAAAAAACGCAAAACCAGGTATGCTTTAGTTTTTTTTTTAGATTTTGCAGTGACAAGGATGACATGGTACGAAACTCTCTCATTCTGCTTCCGAGAATCTAACTTAAAGACATTTGCTGACTTGGCAGCACTGTCAAATATAATTGGACTAAACAGCTGACAAGAAAAATAGCGAGCTGCCACCAAATACGCACAAAACGCACCGATTTAATTTCGATGGATTTCCTGCAATCACATAGCAAAATCTTGCTTGAAGATAACGTTTTGAAGAAAACGCATTTTAAATGGTAATTTTTAACATTAAATAATGAAGAGGACATTAAAATTCCAAAAAATTTACTTATTTTGTTAAATAAAAAAGTTAAGCAAAATTTACTCAATAAACCTACCAGTATGTATTTCGCTGCCGTGGCAATATTGGGGGATGTTATAAAAGGTTATTTCCCGTACGCAACGCGGGATCCTGCGGTTGCCCAAAAGAGCCTAGAAATTATTCCCGTACTCAACAAAATGGGTAATAGAGAGCGAAAATTGTAACGTATTGGATCGTATGTGTCTTCTTCTTCTTCTGCCCGAAACAGCCCGGATTTTTTCTCCGGGTAAAAATGGATAAAGCGTCAAAGTGCATATCAGCTGTTTTGTGTTTACATGTTGCCTGCATCTACTTGGTGCTTTTAAGGAATAGTGAATGTATTTTCAATCTTTAAAAAATTCAATTTCCAAGAGTTTGCATTTAAGTGACAAAAACAAAAACAACGCGAATTAGCTGTTTCTCAAATTCTGGGCACGAAATGTGGTTTTTTGTGTCCCCATACTTCTGGGTTATGTTCCATTTTTGAGAGCAAACTTTTCGCTTATTCTCTTATTACCGGATCCGGTCCGGATTGTTAGGGAAAGAACCTAAAAATGCAGATTTTCACAGCGCTCTCACAAGGGAAAGAATTTCGTATCATATTAGGTGTGTACTCGTAATGAGTGGACAAAATTATTCAGCAACGAAAATTCTGAGATTAAGCAGCATTCGCTCTCAAAGATACCAAATATCCACGTAAGTACGAGGACGCAAAATTTGCAAAAACTTGCAACCTTCGAAACAGCTGATCACTTCCACAGTTGCCACTGGTGGTCCTTTGGCAATTTATTTTCTGCTTGGTACATTTTCCCCCGATTTTACATTTTATACAATTGAATAGTTTTGGATAAGAAAAACCTTTTTAAA